ACTAGACAGTAGGCCTGGTGGCGGGAGGACAATCGTGCACCCTCAGAACTGGGTCCGTGAACAGTCTGCATCCATCAGGGCCCGAGAGAAGACACACTCACGGGATGGGTTCAGGAAGGTTTATTCACACCAGGCTATTCATGGGGGAGGGGCAGACAGGTCCTGGGGCAGTGCATGGACAGTGGGGCTAGCCGCCCAGGGATGAGGGAAGGAGTGACTGCCGGGTGGAACCCTGGAGTGAGAAGCATGGGGTGGGCCTCTGGGGGGGACCTGGCCAGGCCCAGGTTGCATTCACAGGGAGGGGCAGGTGGAATAAAGGTACTGCCCTCCAGCTCCCTCTTCTCTCCGACCCCCTTGCTGGGACCCCTCCACTGACCAAACCCAACCAGGAGGCAAGGGGCTCCTGGGTGCTGTGGATGAGGCCCATGCTGGCCGGCCTCCCAGGGCCCAGAGCACGGGGAAGGCGGGCGGTCAGCAGAGCTGGACAGAGGACACGCTGAGCACAGGGGTGGCCGCAGCAGCAGCAGACCCGCGAGGCAAGGGTGAGAGTGAATGGACAAGCATGTTACTTTTAAATATTGTTCTTTAGAAAAGACCTGCCAGCCAAGTAAATGAAAGGGGAGGAGGGCAGATTAAGGAAGAATGAGAAATTGGAGGAAGGTATAACAAAGAAGGCAGGCGGCGTGAGGAGGCGGGTGGGGACGGGCGTGCAGGGAGAGCCTGCCCCGAGATGGCCTGCACTCGGAAGCAGCTCCCAGCTTCCAAAGGGGGAGAAACAGTCCGTTTATCAGGAGTCGCCCCAGGCCCGCCGGGATCCCAGGGAGCCCAGGCTCACCTCCGGCGCTGCTCCATCAGCGCCTGCTTCTCCCGCAGCTCCCTGAAGGCCGAGGCCCGCCTCTCCTCCAGCTGCTCTGCTTCTTTCGCCGTCCCTGTCCCCGCCGGGTGCGCTAACGCCAGGCCAGGCAGGGCGCCCTTGAAGGAGGGTATCTTCCTTCTGGAATTACACAAGGTTTTAGCCAAGTACCTAACAAAACCTTGCGATGAACACACACCTGGAAGATGCGGTAGAAAACACACAACCTGAGAGCAGGGCTTCTGGGCCAGCTGCAGCCTAGGCCTGCGCGGAAGGTGCTGCCCTCCACGCCCACCCCCAAGCTGCCAGGTCATCCTCGGCCTGTGGGCTCTGAACCGGCTTCCCCTGAGCCACCTGATGCAAATGGAAGGAGGGAGGAGGAGGTTTCTAAATAGCAGGCTTGGACCGTCCTGTCCGCGAGTGGGTGACTCAGGACTGAGACAGTCGCGAGGTAAGTCCAGGCCAGGCTGCCGCAGGGCCTACACTATGTGCTTCCTACACCTCTGCAGCTACCATCGGTTAGTAACACCTCAACGGTTTTTATTCTGAAAACGTTCAGACCTACAGAACAGGTGTAAGGATAGTGCAATGAACAGCAACATCTTTCCTGGAGATGGAAGATTTTCAATATTCCAACCCCAGCCTTCTCACACACCATACCCAGACCCACACACACACCATGCACATACCACACACATCACACACACAATGCATGTGCAACACACAGCACATAGTATGCATACACAACATATGCCACACATACCCATGCACATACAACACATCACCTATATCATGCACATGCAACACACATTACACACATCGTGCATGTGCAACACACATCATACACCACAAACACACAACACCCATCATGTACATCATGTACATGCAACACACATATAATTTACACATGGGCACATACCATGCACAGACATACCACACACACACACACACCAGACATATAACACACACATACATACACACACTCAAACACACAGGATTTGGGCTTTTCTCTTGTGTAACCACCTACTTGGAGCCCATGTTGGGGTGACTTTAACCCAAAGCCAGGTTGGTACTGCTGCCTAACTAGTGAAGGCAATGCAGACACACACATCCCTGATGTTTTAACAGATAGTTGCAAAGCAGTTTTTCAACTTTGAAAAGACCTGAGGACACACCTTAGCCTAGGAGTAGTAGCTGAGGGCGTGTCTGGGGTTGGTGGCCTAGGAGTCGTACCTGAGGGCGTGTCTGGGGTTGGGGCGCGCTTCCTCCCGGGTGCGCAGCACGGCCCGGAGGTTTGGAGGCAGCTCCATGGCGAGGAGCTGGTTTTGCAGAACCTCCACCTGCTCCTTCTCCACGATCTCCTGCCGCAGCTTCCAGAAGCGCCTGATCTCCTCCTCACTTGGCCAGTCTTCACAGGAATCGGCCGATTTCCTGAGCTCACTCAGGTCCAGTCTCTCAACAGGTGGGAACGGGCCCTCCATTTCTTTTAACCTGGTCCCCTTTGGTGCCTGAGAATTAGCGGTGCCTCCGTCAGGTGCACATTCTTCGGGTAAGGCCAGCAGGGGATATGGCAGCTGACTTAGGTGCATCGCTAATAAAATAAAATCCCTATTCAGTCGACTGCGCTGCAACCCTGGGCTGAGCCTCAAGCAACCCCAGGCAGCTCCCTCTGCCGGGCTCTGGCCGTCCCCGTAAACCCCTGTAAGGGAAGGTACTCCCTATGCACATCCTTTGCGTGCCTTAATTTCTAATCAACATTTAGCCCAGCTGTGGGCACACTATGGCCCGCAGGCCGGATCTGTCCCGTTTGAAATGAATAAAACTAAAAAAAAAAAAAAAAAAAAAAGACCGTACCCTTTTATGTAATGATGTTTACTTTGAATTTATATTAGTTCACACAAACACTTCATCCATGCTTTTGTTCCGGCCCTCCAGTCCAGTGTAAGAACCCATTGTGGCCCTCGAGTCAAAAAGTTTGCCCACCCCTGGTTTAGCCCATGTGCCTGCTGCTTTTGTCTGGCAATGCTTTTGTTAACTTTCAGACACTTTTATCTCTAGCTCTAGGTAAATTATTTGGGATCAAATTTGCCTGAAATGTATTCATCCTCTGTCTCTGCCAGGTCCTGCATTAGGCGTTGGAGCCACGGTGTCCCACAGACCCATGCCACCTGGCTGCATGAGGCCTCCGTTCCCACGGGCACAGACACTTGGACAGGCTGGGGTGTGCCCATCAAGCCCTGGCACACATCTGTCCCAGGCATGTAGACTCACACACCCTGTGTCCTTAGACACATTTTAAACAGCTCTGACCCCTGTAAGCTACTTCCTGTAAGAGGTGAATTCATTTTCAGCCTCTCAAGTCTAATCTAGTTAGCCATTATCTACACTAATAAAAGGGAAACATGCAATTGGTGTCACTCCACTACGCCCACCAGCCAATCAGATAGACTATGCAAATTAACCCAACAAAGATGGCAGTTAATTTGCATACGCAGGTGCAGAGCAAAGACTGAAGACTGAAGAGGCTTGGCTTCTCCTCTGCAGCCGGACCAAAGGCCTGGGTCCCGGGTGCCGGAGGAAAACCGGTGCCAGCAGCCAGGGGAAGGAAGGCCTATTGCACAAATCTCTTCATACAACACACATCTAGTATATATATTCATGCACTCAGGGAGTCCCTCAGCCCAGCCTGTGCCCTCTCACAGTCTGGGACACTTGGGGGATACCCACCTGCTGGCTTAGGCCTGCTCCCCGAGAACAGATGATCTAAAAGAAATAATCATATCCTTGGGTAAGGATTTTTTAGAAAGGTAATGGTCGCATGAAAATTCACTGCCGGCAGGGCTGAGGTGCCTGGGTGCTGCCATCTTGTGGCCGTGGGTGCTGCCATCTTTGTGAGGGTGTGATGGTCAATTAAGCATAAAATTCTAAAAAATATTTTTCAAGATCAGTGTTTTACAACTTTTTTCTCTAAGAAAAAGCCATTCTCTAAACACAACATCGAGAAGGAGAGCTCAGAATATGAAACAGGCAGAGGCTTTGCTGTCAAGCATTGTTATTACAGCGTGTGCCCCACATGACCCTATGGGTCTCCTGTGGGACCCGGTGGGCGGCTGAGTGAGATGCACTGGTGCCACACAGGACATGACACACGCGTGCACAGGGCAGCACACTCCCAGTGCTACATGCTCCCGACCGCTACATGCATGGGGTTGGTGTTTTTAAAGAAAAATAGTTTAGCTCTACCCAGTTTCTCAGTGGTTAGAACGTTGGCCTGTGGACTGAAGGGTCCTGGGTTCAATTCTGGTCAAGGACACGTATCTTGGTTGCAGGCTCAATCCCTGGGCCCTGGTCAAGGTGTGTGTGGGAGGCAACCAATCGATGTGTCTCTCTCACATCAGTGTTTCTCTCTGTCTCTCCCTCTCCCTTCCACTCTCAACAATTCTCAGGGGAGGAAAAGAAAGGAAGGAAGGAAGGAAGGAAG